GCTGGGAGGACGTCCACGTTATCACGGGCGCCCTGAAGCTCTTCTTTCGAGAGCTGCCCGAGCCCCTCTTCCCCTTCTCGCACTTCCGCCAGTTCATCGCGGCCATCAGTGAGCACCTGGGGGCGGGGGGCAGGTGGGGGAGGGCAGGAGCTGGCCTGCTGGGGCACCCCCGTGGCCCGGCTCCCGACCCTCGACCCGCCCTCTCGTCCCTCCCCGCTCCGACTCCCTGTCCCTCCCTCCGACCCGTCCCTTCTCAGAGCTGCAGGACCCGGCCCGGCGCAGCCGCTGTGTGCGTGACCTGGTGCGCTCGCTGCCCGCCCCCAACCACGACACGCTGCGGCTGCTCTTCCAGCACCTGTGCCGGTGAGCGGGGCGCGGCGCGCGGGAGTGGGAGGAGGGTCCTGGCAGGAGCCCCCCAGCTGTGGGCCCTGATCCCGCCCCACCCCCGCCGCAGGGTGATCGAGCACGGCGAGCAGAACCGCATGTCGGTGCAGAGCGTGGCCATCGTGTTAGGGCCCACGCTGCTGCGGCCCGAGACGGAAGAGACCAGCATGCCCATGACCATGGTGTTCCAGAACCAGGTGGTGGAGCTCATCCTGCGGCAGTGCTCCGAAATCTTCCCGCCGCACTGACTGCGGACTTGGACTGGGGACGGCGACCGTGGTCACGCCACACAAGCTGGGCGGCGACTGGACTTTCTTTCTGANGCAGGTGTGCGCGGTGGGCGGAGCATCCAGAGACCTCTTTTGAGGGGTGGTGAGGCCCCATTTGGGGCCTACCAGCCAACCCGGACGCCACCGACTGACTCAGTCCCGCGTTCCCCTGCTGCAGCCCCGGGGTCCGGGGTCCTGGAGAGTGACTTGAGCAAGGTCCGGCACAAGCTGCGCAAGTTCCTCCAGAGGCGGCCCACGCTGCAGTCGCTGCGGGAGAAGGGCTACATCAAAGGTACCGGAGGGCGCGGGAGGCGCGGGGCGGCCGCCGGGGGGCGCTGACGAGCCTCTCCCCCAGACCAGGTGTTCGGCTGCGCGCTGGCCGCGCTGTGTGAGCGCGAGAGGAGCCCGGCGCCGCGCTTCGTGCAGCAGTGCATCAGCGCCGTCGAGGCCCGGGGTACGCGGCGGGCGCCCGCTAGCCCTCGTCCGGGGGCGCAGGGCCGAGGGGAAGGAACGGGAGGCCCTGAGTAGGAATCAGAGCAGGGATTTAGACCCTCCCCACCCCAGCCCACCCGGGGTCAGCGCCTCCCTCTGCTCCAGGGCTGGACATCGACGGGCTGTACCGCATCAGTGGGAACCTGGCCACCATCCAGAAGCTGCGCTATAAGGTGGACCATGGTGAGGCCGGTCCCCAGCCGTGCCCCCGCCCCT